TGGGAAGCGATGGTGCGCCCGGGTGAGATCGGTTATGTGCTCACGCATCAAGCTCTTTATTTCATGTTTGGCGAACAGAGAGGTGAGAGAAATTATAACAAGCTGTAACAATAACGACAATCACAGTTAAAATTGTCACATATTGAGAGATTTTATATTAGTGTCGAAAACGGGCCCCCCGAAAATAACGGCTCCCCGAAAGTAACGTTAATTTTTACCTTCCCACTGAACCCCGAAAGTAACGGTCCCCCTGAAAATAGCGGCCCACTCGAAAGTAGCGGCCCTTTGAAGAAGTCACTAAAAGAGAAAGTCTCTGTTCTCAAGCGCGGGTCATGCGGATGGAACAGCCTGACTGCAGGACTGAACATTGACTTGAAGAGTTATGTGTGAATTTATTTCGAACTTGACTGAATTTTTCTTGAAACTATGAACTATGAGCTGTATTTGTCTAGCAGCAGAGTCAAATGATACATGCACTGTAGCATGTAGGGTAATAAGTTGTATTATATATCGCGATCATTATACTTTCGCTCTACAGTACCAACCGGTTTAGGACCTGTTTTGGTTTATACAGTCTGCTTTGTTTATGTGGGTAGTTGGAAACACACATAAATGAAAAGTTTAATTCCTTGTTTTACTCGTCCGCTTTGTCTGAAACGACTGTTACTGAACAAACGTTTTTAGCCATCCGAAATTAACGGCTACCRGTATGTAACGGCTAGCCGAAAGTAGCAACGGGGGCTGTTACTTTCGGAATTCTACGGTGCCCCGCTCGTGATTGGCTGAAAACCGCACGCCACTTTTTCATCCAATCAGAAGTAAAACCAAAACCAGTTGTGACTCGCTCGCATACGTTTTTCTGCACTTTGCTTCGGCTACATGTATTTGCTTTACGTTTTGACTGGTAAATGACTTTGCTGTAGTGTCTGTGTAAAGTTTGTGATTGTGATAAGCCAACATTTATGAGTTTGGGCTTTAAGATGGAGGCACGGTGTCCTCGTGGTTCGTGCGCGCGGATCGAGCGGTCCGGGTTCGAGCCCTGGCCGGGGACATTGTGTCGTGCTCTTGGGCAAGACACTTTAATCCTCTCTCCATCCAGGTGTATAAATGGGTACCGGCGACTTTAATGCAGGGGGTAACCTTGCGATGGACTGGCATCCCATCCAGGGGGAGCAGTAATATTCCTAGTCGCTTCATGCAGGCAGTTCCTGCCTGATGGACCACTTGGCTAGTATGCAGACTTTACTCTTTGGCTTTACGACACTCAGTTGCTCTAAGAAAGAATCTCCTCATCATTCAATTTTGTTGTTGGCGATATCTTTAGTTCCAATAGTTAAGTGGTCCTAAGTGGTCCGGTATATTTAACAGTTATTCCACAAGCGCGTGTTGCATTTGAGGTGATAGATAACCAACGAGGCGCTGGCTATAATGAACTCATATCCAGCAAACTCGATTGAAATTACTATCTTATTAGATACGCCCCCAAAAATAGAAAACTAACATAAAAATTAAAAACGCCCCAAACGTTACGCGTACGCTTAGCATATTAGTAGGTTTGGTAAAATAGCTAGCTCTACAGCTGATGCTTTGCAAGCATGGTATAATGACTCACTGATTGATTGGTTGACTGATTGAGTTAGTGATTGATTGATAGAATGAATTATTGACTGACTGACTAATAATAATAATGACTGAGTGATTGATTGAATACTAATGACTGACTGATTGATTGATTGTTTTCATCTACAGGATGCCATGATACATTCTCCAAAAGGATGAAGGAGCACAAAAGTTCTTTAGACTCAGTGTACGCCAAAATGTGCTCCAATATTTACTCTCAGCTACGATTGGTCGAGCAAGTTCATCCAGTCAAAAGAATCGACGCTGACCTTATGATGGAGCAAAGCGTGGTGTGTAGCCTGCTGGGATACTACGAGTTTTTAACACCTCGGCGCCTGTCGAACATTTTACAGTGGCAGCGGTCGAGTGGATGTTACGGAAACATCGAAAACGAGAACGACTTTGGCCAGCATCAGACCAGGCGAACCATGAGGAAACTTCTGACGGGAAAAGAATTGTCAGGTGAGAGATTTTAGAGCAGACTTGTTTTCTAAGAGCCCAGTCAAAGTAATTCGCAACCTTTGTGATATTCTGCATCAGTTCTTTGCCTTTTCACAACAACAAATTATTATAATGATGCTCCTCTTGCATTGTTGATGATCGCCCGAACCCTTCGGAAGAAGACCGAGAATTACCCGAGGGACGTACACCGACTATTATCCTTAGATACGACCCAGGTTTCGAAGATTGATTAGAATTGTCCACTCAGATATATTTTGCTTTTATCAAGTGTGATTAGATCGAAATGATATAAAAAGTTAGAATAACAAAGACGAGTGTTATTTTTGTCTGAGTTATATAAAACTGGTATGATTGGTCCAGGATTGTGGTAGATATACAGTCGACTCCCGATAACCTGAACCCTTGCTAATTATATTCGAAACATTGATTTTACCTTGGATTTCCGTCATACATTTACTGTACTTTTGCAACTATCTCTCTTAAAAGGTAATTGCACGAGCTCTGTAGCAGTACCCCGAGGTTGTTCTCTTGAAACTCTGTAAAGTTCGTAGTACCTGGACTTCTCTGCTGCTTTGCTTCTTTGTTTTTGTTTCCCATTACGTTTAGACGTTCTGATTTATATGGTAATTTTGAAATGAATTGTTCCATTTTCAATCAGTTAATAGCAGTATGACAGTAGGAATTCTATTCTCACGTAACGGGGCCGATTTTTTGTCCTTTGTTTATTTCACAGATGGATGCGAATCACATATAACCGGAGTTGGTACTGCACTGCTATCGATTTATTTTCGCTTCCTGTTTCTGAACAACATGCCAGACGGAAATTCAACTATGACGAAGACAAGTACATGAGTGCAGAATTACAGATTACCTACCGTAAGAAGCCTATGAAAAATTAATGAAGTGCTCGTTTCAGCTAGTAACAAGTACGTGTCAACTAGTGCAAGCCCTCCCTAGCCTGCATTAGGGAGTGACGGTCATAAAGGCGAAGAACAAACATGGCCATGCGAAAACTGTCTTACCATGTTTTTTTCTCGGATATTCTCGCTGTCTTAGAAGTTGAAAATCAATTAAGTTGCTAAGCTGTTTTTGACTTAAGTTTCCTAATTTTTTAAGCTTTTATGTTCCACAATAAGGTAATGTCTCGAGAAACAGGGAATAAAACAAGATAGTACACTGACTAAACACGACTACTTTCAGCCGGGTTGATCGATACATGAAACTACAAGCCCCCTGACGCCAGATTATAAGAGGTTGAGACTTTGAAACGTGTTGTCATCATCGCGTTCTGTTCTTGGGCATGACAATTAGATCTCCTAAATAGAACTATAAACGCTTTTTGGCTTGTTCCTTCCAAGAAATAAAAATACGCATATGC